GTTGCTGCAAATGGCGCAATAAGACACTTTTGTTGAACACTCAGCACGACTGGGACGGAGTGAGATTCCTGAGGCCAGGAAACTAGTTGAGTTTCGAGGGACCCCCTGGAGTGATGTGTGTGGTCTGCTTTTATCACGTAGGGAAACAGCTTTTATCAAACAGGTCTGAGTCCCAGAAGTGTCCCCACACACACCTCACCCCGACACGCTCTCACTGGCTCCACACAAAGTCAGAATGTGGACGCGATCGGGCACCAGGCCGGGGCAAGGTGAGGCGGCCCCAGCCCTGAAATGTAACACTGAGAAGTGGGTCCATGGCCGACCTCTCCAGGGTGGTGCCCTTATCAGTGCCTTCATTTCTGTCTCCGGATGCGCCTTGTAGAAATCTGCCTCAAATTAGCTATAAGCGAAGGGGCCCCCGTGGGCCCGAGAGTGTGCAATCTGGTTTCGGGCTGGGCGTCCTGCACAAGGCGGGGACAGAGCCCCAGGGAGCCTGTGTCCAGGCCTTCCTGAGGACAGGCTCCTCGTCAGACGTCGCCCAGGGTGAGCGTCTCAGGCTGCGGGGCCACAAGGCCCGGCTGCCCAGCGCGGCCATGCTCACCGGCTGGTCTGGAGCCCAAGCTGATAGCACGTGTGCTTCGTGTTGCTCGTGAACCAGTTGTTCCAGGCGTTCTTTTTTCCGGTGTCAGAGTCCAAGTGATTCCCCAGGGAAGGTTTTGCTGGGCAGCCTGGGGGGCTGCCTCCAGGGCGGTTTCTTCCTGAGTTTGGATACAAAGCTCACAGCGGAGGATGAATTCCAGCAAAGCCCAGCGCCGGGCGGGCGGGCCACCAGCACGCTGGTGGAGGAGAGACACCGGCTTCCTCAGCCGCTGTGCTCAGCCTGGCGCTTTGGAGACTGTCGGTGGGAGGGCTGTGTCCTCTGGGCCTCCCTTAGGTCCGGCAGTTCCCTGGAAGGACTCACCGCAGGAAGCAGAGCTATTGTACTCGTGGTGACAAGTGACGTCTGCAAAAGGAGCCAGGTGGAAACCAGCAGCAGGCAGAGATGCTCACGTGGGCGAAGCTCCCACTGCCCCTCCTCCCCGCCACGGGGTGTCCATGACTTTTACGCGGCTGACCTGGCGCCCAGCCCCTCCAAAGGTGGAGCTGACACTGTGCGGCCCAAGCCCCGCCACCCAACTCCCACTGGGGGCGCAGACTATCCAGCGAGGCCCCCGGCCCCCAGGCAAACACAGGCATCCTGATCAGGCAGGACACTCCCGGGGCCTCGAGGCGACCCTCCGGGAGCTGGGAGCGAGGGGCAGACGTCTGTGCGGGGCGGCGCGAGGCCTCGGGGACGCAGCGCCTCGCCCGGGCCGAGCTGGGAGCAGAGGGCTTCGTGGCCCGGCCGGCCGCGGTGCGCCAGCGGCCTCTGACTGCAAGCTGCTCGCACCGCACCCCACGCCTCCAGTGAGAGCAGGGGGCTCCCGGCTGAATGGGAGGCCTGCTTTCCAGTTACCCTGCTTAGAAATAGGGGCCTCCAGACGCGAGACGGGGCAGCGCAGCACCTGTGGAACCGGGACCGGCCTCCGTCCCCCAGGAGCAGGCGGCTCCGGAGCTGGCCGTGGCCGAGACGGGCGCGACTCGGGGTGGGAGCGCGCGGGCACCGTGTCCCTCGCTCCCGAGGCATCTGGAAGGGGCGGGAGCGAAGGTAACCGGCCGGCTCGGCTGCCGGCCTCGCAACGCGGGGGCCGGGCCGCGCCTCCGGGGCGGGAGCCTCGCTGGCTCGTCCGGAGGCTGCTGAGCACGCGGGCGCGCCGCCGCCCCGGGGGCCGTCCGCGGCCGGAGCGCAGGCCTCCTTGCCCCTCGAGGCGCTGCCGGAGACGGACGCGGCTTCGCCCCCTCGCGAGCCGCTTCCGGGTGAGGAGACCCGGGTCCAGCGGGCCCGCCGAGGTCCGGGGCAGAAGCCGCGCCGCCCGGTTCCGGCCCCTTGCCCGGGCGGGCCTGTGCTGGGGCGAGGCCCCCGGTCGGCCCCACCTGCGCCGACGTCGTCGGGTGTCTCTCGGCCCCCGCGGCCAGCGCGCGCACCGGTGCTGGGTGTGACACCGTGAGCACGACCCCGTCAAGCTTGGAGGGCAGCAGGGCCGGTTCCAGTGCAGGAAAGCACCGCCCCTTACCTGGCAGGCTCTTCCTCCACTCTTGGCGTCAAACCTTCGTGAACCGGCAACACAAACGCAGGGAGACAAAAACGTGTACCCGCCCCGCCCGGAAAAAAGCGGCGATTCGGCCACCTGCCTCCCGACCTGTGGAATCCGCAGTTGTAGGAACCCCTGGTCTAATTCGAAATCCTCGTTTAAGGAAAATGGAATCGACCCAGAGGAGGGAGCGGACAGAACCAGCGGACGCTGGCGCCCGCACCCTCCGCTGTGCGGATGTAGTGAGTCTCATGGGGGCTCCTCCTTTGTGGTACCGGCTCCTTGAATTCTTTCTAGGTTGTCGAGTTTTTTAATATCTCTGGGGAAATGCCCACATGAAATAGTTACTTGAGATAGGCAACAAGCTTCATGTGGAAATGTTTTTACTTTAACACATAAAAATTTAGGTATTTCCTGAACAGAAAACAATGCCCCATATTAACGCCTAAGTCTCTCAGAACGTTTGGGAAGAGCTTTCTGGAATCATCTTCAGTCCATTGTACAGGATGTACCAGAAATGCTCACTTATAACCATACATTTTCTATTTTAAAAAAAAAGACTCACATTTTTCACCAGTTGACTTTGCAAAACTTCGGTATTAGAAAAAAAAAATCCAGATCAAACCCAGGCCCCCGGTGAAGACTTGACCCAAGTGAACAGTGGGCAGAATTCTGAGGATAGGTGTCTGTGGGCGTGTGGGTGCCAGGGCCTTGGGGTGCCTGGGACAGTCCTGACACCCCCAAGCAGAGGGGCCACACCTGCCTGCCACCTCCCAGCCATGGTCCTGCAAGCGTCTTCGTTTGGGCATTGGCACTGCCGCCGCCACCGGTCTAACCTGGGCCCCCCAGCGTGATTCTTCCCTCCGCTAAGATCTGTGAATCCTAGAGAACACTCCTCCCGGAGGCATCTCTGTGCATCCGCCTTGCCCCAGCCTCGCTCCCCGGCCAGCCCTCAGCTTCCATCATCCCCTAGACAGTGATGGCCTTCTCTCCAGAGCATCTTGAATCAGTGATCACGTCACCCTCTTGCTGAAAAGCCTTGAATGGCTTCACGTGGCACTTAGATAAAGCCTGAGCTCCTCGCCATAGACACAGGAGTCTCTCATCTGGCTCCTGCTGAACTCTTGTGTTCCTCGTGGTCAACGTGTTCCATCGCTGGCCTCCCTCTCTCACCTGACAGCCTCTTTCCCACCTCAGGGCCTTTGCACAGGCTGTCCTTGCCCACCCTACCCCCACCCCCAAAGGACCTGGCCAACTTCTTTTTATCCTGCGAGTCTAAACTGCAGCATTTTCTCCTGCAAGGGATCTTCTCTGATCACCGTCGAGGGGGGCACCCCGTGACTCAGCCCGCCCCCCAGTTTCCTTCGGAGCCCTGATACAACCTCAGTTAAGACCCTCCACCATCAGACAGGGACTTCACCTACTTTCTCATACATGTCCCTGGTGCAGACAGGACACTTGGCTCACTTTGTCAAGAGAAAGAAGGCACAGAGGGCTGCGATACAAGCGGGGCAGAGCCGTGGGGACAGGAGACCCGCTTGTCCCATCTCGGTGTTTACAGGATGTGCCCAACAGTGATGGAGGTGATGCTCTACAGACACCCTGCTTCCACAGAACTGAGACGGTCCGCCAGGTAAGGACCACGCCCGGGAGAGGGTGGGTGCCGCAGGGGGCTTTGCACTGGGCTTCCCCCTAGTGAGTGTGGAGAATGTCCTAAGCAAAGCGATGTGTACAAAGACCCAGGGATGGGGGAGGCTGAAGTTTTGCTGGAGCTAAGCTGTCACTGGAGGGGCCATGGAAAGTGGCCACAAAATGAGACTTCTGCCAGGGCCAGCTCACCGAGGAATTTGGCGAGACCACGGAAGGCACAAGCCAGCTTCTTTGGGGTGACGGGGAAACTCACTGACTTGTGATAGTGACTACCCAACTGTGTATGTCTGTCAAAACTCACAGAACAGTAAACTTTAAAAGTGCAAATTTATTTAACCCAATAAACTTGCCTTAAGTAAACAAGCAAAAACAATTTTACATTATAAAAACCTAAAATTGGGTCCAGTGACCTGATGGTAGAGCACGGGTTAGTCTAAAAAGAAAGCAGAGTGTCACCACAACAAGAAAATTCTCATCGTTCTGAAAGTCATAATTTACTTGAAAATTTAATTTTTTATTGAGGTGTAACTGATTTACAATATTATATTAGTTTCAGGTGTATGAGACAGTGATTCGGTACTTTTATACATTACAGAAGGATCACCAGGGTCTGTCAGCATGCAGTGATTACAGTATTACTGATTATATTCCCCATGCTGCACAGAAATTAATTTTGAATAGAAGTTTTTAAAAGCCAAAAGTAGGAATTAAGAAATCTTTAAAAAGTAGAAATTAGTGAGTTAAGGGTGGGGGAGGAGGGATAAATTGGGAGTTTGGGATTTGCAGATATAAACTACTAAAATAGATAAACAGCAAGGTCCTACTGTATATAGCACAGGGAACTACATTTGATACACTTGTAATAGTCTATAATAAAAATGAACGTGAAAAGGAACGTATTTGTGTATCACTGAATCACTATGCTGTGCACCAGAAATTAACACGACATTGTAAACTGACTATACTTCAACTAAAAAAATTTTAGTAACATTTTAAAAAAGAAATTAGTGAGTTAAGTTTGAAACCAGAAAAAAAAGTGAAAGTGATAGGTTACTTGTCTTAAAAATCAACAAATAAATGAATCACCAGCTATTCTAATCTTTTAGAGTGAATCCCCAAATATCCAAAGTAAAAAATGACAAAAGAATAACCATTTATACAAATGAAATGTTTTAAAGTCATAAGAGACTGCTTTGTAGGAAAACCAATTTGAAACCTATTTTAAATGGATAATTATATAGGAAAATATACCCCAAACTGACCCCAGCTAAGATAGAAAATCTAAACAGGAATTACTGAAAAACAAATTTTTGAAGAAATTCCCCTAAATAAGAGAACCATGACATGTTAATCAGGGTTCTCCAGAGATACAGAACCAGCAGGCTGTGCAGAGGGAGACAGAGAGGCAGAGACAGTGGGAGAATGTGAGTGAGCGAGATAGATTTGGAGGAACTGGCTCATGTGAATATGGAATCTGGTAAATTCAGACCTGCAGGGAGAGCTGGCAGCCTAGAGACCCAAGGAAGAGCCAGGGTCACAGTGAAGCCTGAGGACCACCTGCCAGCAGAATTCCCTCTTGCTTGGGGGAGGTCAGTCTTTGATTCTATTTAGACCTTACACTAGTTAGACATGGCCCACCAGCCTTATGGAGGGCAATCTGCTTTACTCAAAGTCTGCCATTTAAATGTTAATGTCATCTGAAAATACCCCAACTGCAACATCTGGAATCAGTTTTGATCACATACTGGGGCACGGTGGCCCAGCCACATTGCATAAAATTCACCATCACTTCCTTCCCTGGCCAACTTGGCTCCCACGTTGTCTCCTTAACCCAAACTTTGTCTCCAAATTAGGACAATAAAAGTTTGTAATTCCACCAAACACAATACCACTCTCCTCCACGCAGTCTACCAGAAAGTGGAAAAGTGCTCAAAAAATGAGAGGGACATGTTAAAAGGACACCAGAGCCAACTTGAAGGGACTCTCACTGCTCAAATCCACGATAATCAGAGCACCAATGTAAATAGTGAGACATCAGATTACAACCCACTGAGTAGGATTCGTGAGTCCATACGAATGAAACGAATGGACGAACAGAAAACTCTCTCAGGGAGAAGGGAAAGCTCTTCCTGCAGTAACATGCCACCTAGTAGGTGTGGAAGGGATGATGGGAATAGATCACTCCCGTGAGGCAACCACCATAGTGGTTTCTGATTCGGGCAGAGGCATCAGTGGGCAGGAAGGCGGGCGGGTGGGTGTTTGCTGGTGTAACAGCGGAATCTCTCCACAAGATGCTGATCAATATGAAGCAGGACACGGTGGCCTGGCTGGTGACTGAGCTTTTGTGGCCATTGGTGGACCAGGAGGACACCAGGAATGGCACCTGGAGAAAAACCCACATCAGTTCTGTGGCCTCCCTGCCGAGAATGCAGGGCCGCATCTGGTCACAAGGAACCATCCGCTGGGCCCGGGTGGAGGGTCGTCCTATGGAACAGAGGCTCAGCTTCTGCAAGACTGGTAAGGACCTAGAGGAACAGAAAGGCTGAGGAATGGCTCCAGACCCACGGGGGTTGGTGGGACGTGACTGCTGACTGCAGTGGGTGTTCCTGGACCAGGAAGGAGAGGCCTGAGAATGGGCTGGTGCCGTGTGGGTGGGCTCTGACTTCGGCTCAGTTGTTACCATTTTTAATTGCTGGTACAGGTGAAGTGGGATGTGTTTTGTGCAGGCATCCTCAGTGAACTCATCTATTTTTTAATGGAAGTATAGTTATTTTACAATGTTGTGTCAGTTTCTGGTGTACGGCATAATGTTTCAGTCTTCCATATACACATGTATATTCCTTTTCATATTCTTTTTCATTATAGGCTATCACAAGCTATGGAATATAGTTCCCTGTGCTTTACAGTATAAACTTGCTGTTTGTTTTATAGCTAGTAGTTAGTATCTGCAAATCTCAAACTCCCAATTTACCCCTCTACCCCCACTTTACCCCCTAGTAACCACAAGTTTGTTTTCTATGTCTGTGAGTCTGTTTCTGTTTTGTGTCTTTTTTTTTTTAGATTCCAGATAAAAGTGGTATCATACTTTTTCTTTCTCTGTCTGACTTACTTCACTTAGTATGACAATCTCCAGGTCCATGCATGTTCTTGCAAATGGCATTACTTTATTCTTTTTCATCTCAGTGAATTTAGAAGTGTTGGGGCAGCATGTCAGGAAAAAACGATGCAGACCCGCATCTGGAAGAGAAGGTGCGGTAGCAGACACGATACAGCGTCAGCATCGGGGGAACCTGGCCCATGAGGTGGGAGGAAAACACAGAAGCCAGAAGCAGCGCATGTTACAGCTGAGAGAGGGAGGAGGTAGGCGGCCAGGGAAGGAGCACCCACCATGGGGCCGGGCTGTCGGACGTGGCTGTGACGTCAGATAGAGACCCACAAGGTGTGGTAGAAGCAGAAGGGAAGGTGAGGACATGGAAAGGGAATGTCTCCACAGAGACATTTTGATGTTTAGGAAACCAAGAAACAGGACCTGCCACAGGTGTCTGGTCAATGGAGTTCTTACAAGTATGTTTGGGCACCGATGGACTAAGCCCATCCCAGTGTTTGTGAAGGAGACAGGGGCCTGGAATCCAGAGCACAAGCCGGGAGGTCCCAAACAGGAACAGGACAGATTATCCAAAGTAGTTGTCATATATATACAGTGGACTACTATTCAGCCATAAAAAAGAATGAAATAATGCCATTCGTAGCAACATGGGTGGACCTGGAGATCATCACTCTAAGTGAAGTAAGTCAGACAGAGAAAGAAAAATGCCATATGCCATCACTTATACATGGAATCTCAGAAGTGAGACAAATGAACTTATTCACAAAACAGAAACAGACTCATAGACATAGAAAACAAACTTATGGTTACCAGGGGGTGAGAGGGAGGGAAGGGATAAGCTGGGAGTTAGCGATTAGCAGATACCCACTATTTTATATAAAACAGATATGCACTACTACTGCGCAGCACAGGGAACTACATAATACCTTGTAACAGCCTATAATGGAAAAGAATATGGAAAGGAATGTATGTATGTATAAGTGAATCACTATGCTGCACACCAGAAACTAACACCTTGTAAACTGACTATACGTCAGTTTTAAAAAAGGCCAGATTATCTGTTTCAACAGAAGGAGGGAAGGGAGGGAGAAAGAAGGCGGGGATACAGATATGTGGATTTGGGGTGGGTAGGTGGGGGGGGGGCCTCTGCCTCTGTCAGTTTTCTCGGTGAATTTGCAATGTCCAGATGAAGCCGTGCTGGTGAACTGAGAGTGAAACCAATGCTGTGATTCTCTCTGGCCACGCCAGGGAGCGGAGGCCCTGGGACCTCCCTCCATCTGCCTGCCCCCTCCTGGGTGTGGGGTGTGATTGGCTCCATTCTCCACGAAACCCACTCTCCCAAGGATGCCGCAGGTGGTGACCCAGAATTCACAAGACATAGCTGGACTTTCTGTCACTATTAAGGAGGAAAACAAATCTGTTTCCTCTAACAGGGCCTCCCTGGGATTGCATCCCTCTAAGCGGTGAAGAGACATCAAACAGGTCATGGCCAAAATGCTCCACAGAGCTGCAGCTGGGATGGCCCACATCCACCTGTGGCAGCTTCCAGCTGCCCTGCAAAGGTGGGTTCTGGAGGTTTCCTGAAGCCCGCTGGGCTGGGCTGCAAGTCTGGCTCTATCCTCCTCCAAGCTCTCATCTGTGAAATGGAGGTAGTGGTCTGGTCCTTGTAGGTGTTTGGGAAGATGAAAGAAATGATCCTCTAAAGCAGGCAGAGAAAGCCCATCAGATGGCACCTGCTGTAATGATTGTAAGTGTCCCCACCCCATTTCACATCAAGAAAACAGGGGCTCCAAGAGGGAAGGGGGCTCGTCCACTGAGAGTTAGCCAGCCTGGTGGGATGAGCTCCAGCCCACCGACCTAAGAAAGAAATTCAAATCGCAGTGGGGAGGCTGGGAGGAAACAGCACTTCTGTTGATTGTTGATGGCTATGCAAATTTGTATGACTCTTTGCAAGGGCAATGAGGTAATGTTTCAAATACTATATATTAGAAACAGTTCAGTGGGTAGGGTATAGCTCAGTGGTAGAGCGCATGCTTAGCGTGGTCGAGGTCCTGGGTTCAATCCCCAATCTCTCCATTTAAAAAGAAAGGAAGGAAGGGAGAGAAAGAAAGAACTAAAACAAAAAACAGCATTAAAAAAGAAGAAAAATGTTTAAAATTTTTTTTCTCTCCATCGACACTGCGAATCTGCTTCCAGGAATTTAGGCAACAGTAACACTTGCTGGAGAGGATGAGGCTGCGAGCTGGAGCCTGCGAGCTGCAGCGTCATTCTCCACGGTGAAAAGTGTAAAAGCCACAGAGACATCACTAAATAAACAAAAGGGCATCCCGGGAACTGAGAGCTGCTGGCGGACACTTCTATAGCGTCCTAAAATAGAATATGTGTACCATACACCATATATAAGGTCAGTGTGTGCATAAACTAGATAAATATTCCAAGGGCTTATATATATCTGGAATATGTGCGATGATTTTACAAGTGTACAGTTCTTTTTTTTTTTTTCTTAATCGTGAGTCACGCGTCAGTGCGACGTTTGGAATCAGCCAGGTCCCGCTGGCCTCTCTCAGGCCGCCACGCCGGCCCGCAGTCTCCCGCCTCGCCACCAGAGGGCGCGCGGAGCCCCAGCAGCGACCTCACCACCACCTCCCGGCACAGGGGGTGCCAGCCTGGAGCCTCCGCAGGCTCAGCTGTTTTTTCAGTCGCTGGCCGGACTGTTCTGTAAACGGAACGCTCTGTGCTTCTTGACATGCTCTCCCAGCATGTACATTCTAAAAGCCCTTAAATGAAGTTAACGTCTTGTGGGATGAGACACACAAACATGGACTGCGTTACATTTCCCCAGCCGACAGTCCTGGGTTCTTCAAAGCTAAGGGAGGAGGAACAGAAGTGACACTTCCTGAGCCCCTACAGCACGCTGGCTGTCCCTTTGCACACAGCATGTCGTCGAATTCTCTACAATTAGGTCGGTGTGGTTAACTCCCATTTTTCAGATGAGAACACTGAGATTCTGAGGGACTAAATGATTTACCCAAGCTCATGACAGAGTCACTGATTGAATCAGAATCCAAATGCAGGCCAGCAGGGTCCTAAGATTTTGCTTTGCCCTCTAGAGAGCCCGCACTTGTCCCCAGATTTATGGATGAAGAACATAAATCCAGTGTGTGTTGGTGAAGACCCTCCATCTGAATTCAGTTGTCCAGGCACCCAGAACATGCCTTTGCTAATACTCCTCTGCCTTCACATCCGGTAGGTGCCCGGCTGTGACCAGTGCAGAAACACCGAGGCCTGGCAGCTCTCTCTGACTTGCCATGTTGTTCAAAATT